AAGATTTTACCTCTTAGATGATTTACTAGTCGTGCTCAGAGTGGTACCAGTGTTGTTGTAAATTATTAAAATTTATTTTATATTGTTTATTTTACTATTCTAAACAGACATGCGGTTTGGATTATGTTTTGTGACAGGCCCTGGCCATAATAATATCTACTATATACTGAGCCTTGTTTATAATTACTGATTGTGAAATGATTACCGCAGATTCTGCTCCAGATAGATATTGGGTAATCATTTTATTTGAAAATTTATTTCCTTCTATTTTCATTTTTTGAAAATCTATATTTGTGAATAAATTAGACTGGCACCATATTATTAAGAAATATAATCAGTACAACTAGAAAATAATACTTACAAATGAAAGTTAAGGTAATGTGGCGAGGCGATACTTTGGACGTCTTACTAAAAAGATTACACTTATGCATGGCAACTTTTTACTAAAACGTATGAATACAACACTGTACGAATGTATAGTAGTCTGTATTTACTATTTCCGTTCAAATTTCAAATAACTAATCGAATGATTCAAATGATTCAACTAAAGTCGGAGAACATTAAAATTATATTATGTTGTTGTTATTCATTTGATAACAATTATTATTATCTTAGTGATAAGCACGGTATTTATCACGGACTAAGATAGACTCACGGACTAAGATATAATCTTTTTCAGAAATTTCAGAAAGTGAATCTTGAGTAAAGCGTAAATAACAGATTTAAAAAAAAAATGGTATTTGGCCAAAGTTATATAGTTTTGATACCTTATTATAGTCTTTAAACTTTTTTAGAGACATCTGTAAGACAATAAAAGGTTTTTGAATAAACTTTTAGAAAAGATCTAACAAATGACAATGGTGACCAAATATCTATTTTTTTTATATGTTTCTCAATCTGTGAATGTGCATTATCCACTTCTTGGATGCACGAGTGGCCTGGAACTGAATACTTCATTGTAACTGATTTTGTTCTGGGAATTTTTAACATAAATCCAATAATAGCCGTTGACATTCTCTTATTTCGGTTTCGTGGCACACAGCTATCAGACCACATAACAATGTTTAGTATATCCAAAAAAAAAAAAAAAAAACCCAAAATACATGATTTTATAGCAAAAATTATGGTTAGGCACTGGTAGAATTCATGTTAGCATATGCAGTTATTAATTTTAACAGAACCTACATTTTTTAATTATTTTACACGAAAAACTATAACAGCTCAAAACACTGATTTATTAGCCTACATAAACACTAAATTTGTCTATGTCGAAAATTTCTTTAAATCAACGATTACATCGTTGTACAATGATTTAATACTAAAACAATGTGAGCTAGAGAGAAAATTACTAGAGCAACGACTCACATTAGCGTCTTCTAGTCTTTCGGAGTTTGCGTATTTAATGGGCGGTGGACCAGGGTTCACGGCAATAAAAGTCAGTGAAATAATTTATTTAATAAAGTGCAAAAAAGTTAACGTTGAAATATCACAAAAAAAAAATTGTTTTAATGAACTACCAGTGTTATACAATAACAAAACATTATTTATGGCACCCAAAACACATATTTTACAACAATTTGGAACACAGGTGGACTGCAATATACTTCTACCACCTGCATTCGAATTGGGCGGTGATTGGTTTGCCATTCTACCAAACATACAAGAAATTAAGAAACCACAAAAGCTTAAACCAGCCACGTCCTGGACATGGTCGTACAAAAGTCCGGATTTTCTTATGAATGCCGGTATATATACAAAGGACACAATGAAAGCTTTTCAACAGCATATATTGTTCCCGCAAGAAGTGAAAGCTGCCACAAATAATTTAATCAGACAATCTATGGGATATGATACGACTAATCAAGGTCTGCAATTTAAATATTTGATAGACGAAAACACGCTTGGAAAAATGGTAGAAGATAAGCTATTTAAATTATGGGGTTGGTTTACGACAATTGGAACTTTTGTGTCTGGGCTAATGGGTATATTCTTTGTTGCAAAATTAATATTAACACTTGTTGACACAGGTATTAATATTACTTTTTTATATCAAACCTTTGGGTGGAGTACAAAGCTTCTAGCGGGATTTTTTTCAAGTATCACCCATAACTTAATACTTCGATCTCATAAATACAACCATCCTAATGATCGAGAGTTTGATGAAGACTCCTTGGAAATGAAAAACTTTCAGCGTCATAGAAATAAATTAAATATTTACCCAAATCTAAATGCTATGGTTTAAAACTATCAAAATAAAAAAATACTTGTATTTTTTATTTGAAATTGAGTACCTAATAACAATATATTTGTATCAAATGTACCTATATTAATTAATATTTTTATTTATTATATTTGTATACAAATTAATTGTGTATGAGACTTTAAATAATTGTTACAGATGATTTTTATTAATTGTATAATAACAACTCAAAATAAATACGTAAAATAATTGTATAATGTTATATATTATATTTTCTTTCATTTTTATACACGTAACTACTTATGCATTTTTTACATTGATAATAATATGTAGATAATATGACATTTCATTAAATAAAAGCATACCTATACATTATATTATTATACATTGGTTATCCGCATTTTCTATGAATACTAGCATCAATTTAAGTTATTAATTATAATAAATTGTAATTAATCTAAATGGTGTATTTTAATTAGCTATATAATAGCTCAATCAAAAGTGTTCTGCACATGTGTAGGTACTTACATAATTTAATTTTAATTTATATAGATTATAATATTATATATTATATTATAAACGATGAACATTTTAAGTGTATACTGTCGGTTTTTTGTACATAGGTACATACTATACAGTATACATACTGCATTGCAAATTGCAACAATAATTAAATAATGTGAATAATTACCTATAGTCTTTATTTAAAAGATATTATAATATGTACAGCAAATAACAATCAACTTCCTAAATTATGTTTTAATTAAATATAGGTACCTAATTACATCAATATATTTTATAACTATAACATTGTAGTATTGTACTAATACGTATGTCGTATATAATAATTATAGGAGATCAAACAATCGTACGAAAAGTACTCCAGGTCACCAATAAGTTACAACGTAAAATACGCGACATATTTAGGTACTACAAAATCCATTTAATCGTAATGAAACTATTATTTTTATGTATATAAAAAAGTAATTGGGTTAGAAAAATAAATCGAGTTATGGTGTATAATAATTTGTATGCTTTATTTATTGGTTAATATTTTTAAGCAAACAGGAACTTTAATTAAAAAATAGGTCGCGACTTGTGTACCGCATGCTAGTACCTACATAAGACATACATGGGGCGGCGATCATTTACGGAACTGCGACGCGAAACGTCCTGTACGACCGTCCGTGAAATAATAATGTACCTCTCGCGCGATTACAACAAGCGGGCCCCGTCGCGTACACGATGGGCGTGGTTACGGCCTACCGCGACGGCGGCGATACGGCGCACAACGCCATCTCTTGAGCGTTGCATTCGTTTCACTTCTACCAGAACGGCCTCTTAAATTGGAACTTGGTAAAAAAAATTGTCATTTGTTATACCTACTTAAGCTCGGTAAACTTTAAGGGGTTGTAAGGGTGCGTAAAACACCGAAAATCGTGAACTTCGTAAGGCTAGGCGATAACAACTAATCATTTCCGTGAATTAATTTTTGCATCATAAATCTTATAACTGGTGGCAAATCATAGGTTTCCGAAAAAAAAAAATTGAAAAATTTGCGTGGGCGCTAAACTATATGAATTATAACACTAAATTTAAAAAATATTTTAGGTTTTTTAAGAAATGTTCTTAGGATGGTGAATATAGATATCAGAAGTACAAGTATATTTTTATAAAAGCATATTGTAAATATTTAATGAATCATTAAATGAAAATGTGATTACTGGATTTTAGACTTAACATAAAGATATACAGTACCTACTATATACCAACTAGATTTGTAAAATTCCATGTCTAACATTTTATACGTATATACTGCCGATCATAAAATTATTAATTAATTTAATTATTATTTAATATTATGTTAATTTTAATTGTATCGGGTTATATAGTTTTGATTTTACCATGATGTGTGTATTTAATTTTTTAATTTTTTTTATAATTTTTTTGTTGTGTTTGATGTGTACACGATAAGTAGTCGAAATAAACCTTCGTTCTCCATACATTATAATATTATGTATTATACCCTATATCTATGTAATCATATTGTTTTTCTTAAGTTCATTGTACTTATGTAAACTAATAAAATATATGAGGTGGCTAATGTAGGTAGGTATATAAAATATAAAGATTAATAATATTTTATATTAAGTATATTGTTTTAAATACTTCGCGCATACCTAAGGTGATATCCGGCGTATATAGTATATGCAAAAACCATACGTAAAATTGGTTTTTGCATATACTACTTGGCGTGGTGAAACGATGACGGCCTTTATACTGTGTGCCGTGTGGTCTCGCGTATCTTATACATTGCGCTTTTGGGATTAAAGTATTAAACGTATACATCCTTCTACGTCACCCAGTTAACATATTGTAAATGGCAATAAATATTTAATTTAAGTCTAAATAGTAAATGTAAGCTCCAAAATAAAATGAAAACAAACTTACGAAAACTCTTCCGAGTTCCGGTAAAACCTAGCTAGAGTGCCGCCGCAACGTCACCGAAGAAATAGCTATCTTGGAAATTTAATACAAGGCTCCTAGTATATTGTTTCAAAGACAGATGAAATAATGCAAAGCATACAGGTTCGGCATTTGGAATACGAAAACTCACACAAGTGCCGCTCTGTACCGCTTTTATCCTAAATAGAGTAAATGGAGTCCTATAAAATAAAAGTTAGAAAGTTATCCATAGAGTAAAAGTGCTCCTCCCCTTATAATTAAAAATAAAACTCAAAAACTAAGCAAAAAATTAATTTTTATGTATTATTTAATTATTTATTTAATATTTTTAGATATGGTCATCAATAACAATGACGATATATCAAAATTGTTTGGTGAGATGACTTTTAATAATAATGGCCGTAAGTTAGTAAATGATCAAAATATATATGATACTGATTACTCAGACGACAGCAGTGATTACGAAACACTTTTTGATAATGGTAATAAATTAAAAAAATGCATTCATTCATTATTAGTAATGTCTCATTTTTAACTAAATAGGATGTTATAGTAGAAAAGGGGTAAATGAAATTAAGGCTCAAATTCAAACTCCTAACCAACAGAACAAAAACGTCAAAATTAGGGATTACCAACCATCAGAGAATGTAATAAAAACATTTATAGACAAAGTAAATACAGATCCGTATGAAGGGCCTGTACTTACTCATGAAGCATCTAATAAACTGATGGAAAGCTACAAAAAAGCTGATGCCATGCGGTATAGTTTATTGATATTTAAGAAATTACATGTAAGTTATAATGGTTTTTTGTAATTTTTTAGATTTAATAATAAAGACAAATGTGACAGAGGTACAGCTGAACAAGTGATGGATCCAAGAACTCGAATGATAGGTACTATTTAAATTGCTTAACAGAGGAATGATTGGACAAATTGTTGGGTGTATATCTACTGGCAAGGAAGCCAACGACTATCATTCAACTTCAACTGATAGTGAAAAACATTATGCTATTAAAGTATTTAAAACATCAATATTGGTGTTCAAAGATCGTGATCGTTATGTCACTGGTGAATTCAGGTACCTACTCAAAAGTTCCCAATTAGCTTATTATTTTGCAGGTTTAAAATTGTTGATTTAAAACTTGATTCAATGATTAATTTCTATTTATATATAACTAGCAGACCCGGCGAACTCCGTTTCGCCACCAGATTCGTTTTATGTTTTTTTTCGTTAGGTGATTAAAATATAAAGAAAAAAAATTTTTTTTGTTATATATTTGAAAAGGAAAATATTTATTTCATTTCACAACAGTAATAAATTCATTTCAATTACCTACTAAAATGAAGTGTTATTTAATTGTTTCATTGTAGTGCTCTTTGGTAAACCACATTTTTTGTTTTTTGGTTTGACGTTAACACAAACAAAGCGGATGGTTTCCCAACTCGTGAACACGCAACGTATAACTGTCCATGTGAAAAACAATGATTTTCCAAATTTATCCCGCAAACACTAAGCGATTGGCCTTGCGACTTATTAATTGTCATTGCGAACGCAAGGCGAACTGGGAATTGCAATCGTTTGAAGTCAAACGGAAGATCAGGCGGAATCATTGGTATTCGAGGAATACATACATTTTCACCTGCGTACTTTCCGTTAATAATGGTTGCCTCAATTAAATTCGGCATAAGTCTCTTTACCGAAAGTCGAGTACCGTTGCAAAGTCGCGGTGGATTCAAATTACGCAGTATCAAAATAACCGTACCAACTTTCAGTTGCAAGTTATGTGGTGGAAATCCTGGTATCTCCAGAGAGTTCAAAAACTCCGTTGGATAATTTACTACATCATCGGGATTTGTTATTGAATCAACGGATTTGTATGTCACCAAATCGCCAGCAATTTTTGATTGAATGGTGAAATTCAGTGCGTGGACATCATTATTCTTTGCTGCAAGAATTGCTCGTTGACTTAACCAAGCATAATTCTTATAATTCTCACTAATGTTTGGGAAAACATTTTCAATAAGAACTAATTGAGTGTCTACAAATCGGCAAAAGTCGTTGGTAAGAGTAATTAATCCAGATGTCGCATCAACTGGGACTTTTCCATTTCCAAGATCTAACAATTGTTTGGAAAATTGTGCAGCACTTTGATCATTTTGAAGTTGAACTCTCATATTAGTGGTTAGCGGTAATGTTTTTACGTTATTCCATAAAGGTGATGCCTTTAGGCAAGCATTCAATTCATCTGCAGGCGTTCCACGGGGAACTACTGGCAACGTCTGCCTGAAATCGCCTGCCAACAATATCATCAAGCCGCCAAAGATGTTGTTATTTCTCCGAAGATCCTTCAGTGTGAAGTTAAGTGCTTCAAGTGATTTCTTATGTGCCATTGTGCATTCATCCCAAACAATGAGCTTGCATTGCATTAACAATTTTCCCATTGCACTGGATCGGGAAATATTGCACGTTGGAGTATCAATTGTGTTTAAATTGAGTGGCAACTTAAGCGCAGAATGTGCAGTACGACCGCCATCTAGAAGAGTCGCCGCAATTCCAGATGATGCTAACGCCAAAGCTATGTCACATCTTGATCGAATAGTGGCCAAAATCAATGAAATGACAAATGTTTTCCCTGTTCCTCCAGGTGCATCCAGGAAGAATAGACCACCAGTATTATTGTCCACCGCTTGCATTAATGTTTTGTATACTTGTTTTTGCTGTTCATTCAGCAACGGAACATTATTTCTAACGAATTCCTGCAATGTATCAACATTGTATTGCAGCTCTCGATTTAATTCTTGGTTGAATGCATCGTGCATCGATCGATTTGGCGCAATCATTCCTACTTCAATCAGTAGCTTGTTTGCAATAGTCAAGCATTGATCCTCAATCAGAATCAATCCTTCATTGTATATTTCATCGGTTATTTGGATGTCAGGATTATTCGTTTGAATACGCAAGCGATGCAAGATATCTTCACATATGGCGTCTTTGTATTTGTTCCATAACTGAATTGGTTGTGAAGGAAAACATGTGGTGATGATAATTGCGATAAAATAAAATAAAATAAAATAAAATAAAATCGATGTTCGCACGTCGTTCTCTAGGCATTTTGGACTATGGACAGAGTGTTGAATTTAACTTCAAATGCACGATCCACATAATTTACATAATTTATTTTAGCTTAAATGAAATTAACTGAGCAGAGAATAATGACTATCTGTCAAACACTTTATCACGCACCGTTGCTATTGGTTTGAAGTACATGCTATGTATAATAGATGGCGCTGTATGTGAAAAACGATTTCCCCACTTTTCTGTTGAATTTTTCCTGAATTTTCCAGAATTTTCTTTGCTATAAACCTCACGGAGCCCAAGACCTTTCCAATGAATGCAAAACCGTGGAAATCGGTTCGTGCGTTCTCGAGTTATAGCGTCAGGGAGGAAAACCGGACTTATTTTTATATAATAGATATATATTGTACATAGATGTCTATAAATATTATTTTTTTAGCAATGAACTTACATTATTTCAAAATAGTATGTTTAGAAATTTAATATGGATTTATACAATTTTGATATTTAATATTTTCCTGTTTTTTTTCTCACCCTTTATGTTGAAGAAAACACTATATTAATAACTAATAAGGACTATTTTTAACTTGTGCTTCAAAATTATTGAATAGTATTGATTTTTGTATACAATACAGTCACATCTCAAAAAATGGCAGTCTTGCACTTACTTAAAAAATTGTAAAAAGTCACAAGTCTAACTTTTTGGGTTCGAGAGAGTATTTATTTTGATATTTGATAAAGTCATATTGTAAAGTATCTTTGCAAGTTTATTTAAGTTTTTAGTTTCAAAAGCATACGTAAAAAACTTTCAAATATCATAGATTTAATCTTCAAATCACTTTCTCAAAATTAAAAATGTTGAGTAGTGATGATAGTCTTGTTCCAGCGGTGCGATTTACCAAGTAATGATAATTTACATTGATTATAATACATATTAAGTACATAACAATATGTCAATATTGTGCATAATAACACATAATAGTTCACACACAATAATGACCTTCTATCTCTGTCTCATCTTCTAACGAGATGTAAAAAAAAGATGTCTAAAAAAATACAAGTTAAAAAGCCTCTTTTTACAAGTTTTTTAATACAATTATTTTAAATAAAATACAAAATCAGAGATCGATGCGGGCTGTAGGAAGTCTTCTTCTAATAGTCATCAAAATTCGACAATTCTACAAAGCTTGAAAGTTATTCCCGTAAAGTCCTTTTTTTCGATATAATACACCCTATCAACCCACTCCCCCCCCCCTAAATAGGTATCGGACAATAGATTAGTGGAAAAGTCTTATAATTGAGGTGGCAACTAAAATATAAAATTTAATTTTCAAATTTTATAGAATTATGGAAAATTTGAAAAACATTTATATTTATGCACCTTTTTTATGTAAATGTATACAAAATGGACACAAATAAGTGAGACATTTATTAATTTTAAGATAATTGGTGATATTTATTCAACTCATTAAGATAATGAAATATAATTATATACATTTAAAAATATTGAACCAGAGTCGCAGGTTATACGCATTGAAGTATTCCTGTGCTAAAGAAAGTTCATAAATCATATTCATTTATATTTATGCACCTTTTATGTGTAAATGTATACAAAATGGACACAAATAAGTGATACATTAATTAATCTTAATTTTGTAGATGTATTAAAAATCTTGAGGTGTGTTCAGGAACAAAAAATTATAATTTTCAATAAAAAATTGAACCAGAGTTTTGATAATAATTTTAAAATATTTTAAATAATCAACTTACGATTTGTTTTTGTAATACAAATTTATTTTATTTTTGCTTTTGTAGATTTAGACATGGTTACTGCAGGCATAATCCAAGAAAAATTGTACGTTTATGGGCTGAAAAAGAAATGCGTAATCTTGCTCGAATGTATGCAGATGGTCTACCGGTACCTCAACCAATTTTGTTAAGATCGCATGTTTTAATTATGTCGTTTATCGGTAAAGAAGATTGGCCTGCTCCAAAATTAAAAGTATTTGTGCTGGATATATTTAATTAATTTTCTTTGGATACCTATCTGTTTATTATATTTTTATTTTAACAGGATGCTCGTTTAACTACGTCTAAAGCGTGCCAACTTTATAGAGATTGTTTAATAATTATGTGGAAACTATACAACATTTGTAAACTTGTACATGCTGATCTTAGCAAGTTTAATTTATTGTAAGTATATTTTTAACATAATATTATAAATAAACAAACACAATAAATACAATTATAGGTATAATGATGGTGAAATAGTGATGATAGACGTATCTCAAGCTGTTGAACATGAACATCCACATGCATTAGAATTCCTTAGAAAAGATTGTACAAATATTACAGGTAAATCATTTTCTATTAATAGATACTTTGTTGATAATTGAAGCACATATAATTTTTTTCAGAGTTTTTCCGTCATCATGATGTTGGTACATTAACCATTAAATGTTTATTTGACTTTCTCACTGATCCCACCATCACATTAGATAATATGGAAACTTGTCTTGATCGTCTTCAAGTAAATATGGTCAATTCAGATCCATTAACAAATGAAGAAATTGTTGACCAAGAACACCATTTACGAAACAGATCATAGACAATAATCCATATTTACACTTATGAGTTTGTAAATTTAAGTATTAGTAACAGTTGAAATTCACTAACTTTTAACCTATTGTACATTTAACTATTAATCAGTAAGTTGTAACTAATATGAAATAATTACAAGTCACATTATATTATATTGGTAAATTTCAAACCATATTAATAGTTCAATTTACATATCATAAATATAAGTAAATTTCAACTGTGACCTACTGATAATATTGTATACTCATCAAACGTGGTAGAAAGGGCGTTCAGAGACATGCAAGTATGAAACGAATAACGACTTTAGAACAATCTAACGTACAGGGATCATAATATCGCGGTAGGTACCTGATAAACGGTTTTTATTTAATTTTCAGCATAATTTTGAATTGTGCAAAATTCGTAACATGGCGTTGGAGCACCAAATGGCTGACTCGATTTACTCCATCCAGACATCCGTAAAAGAGCAGCTGTCCGAAGTGAAAACAAAATTAAAGCATTTGAACGAGACAGTTGCAGGCTTGCTGCGAACCGCTGAGACTATTACGACTGCGGAAAGTAATATTATACAATACATCGACCTGACTATAACACATTAATCCGTTTCCGTTCGTTTATATAGGAATAATAACCGAAGAAAAACCCGATGGGTGCAATTTCGGCCGTCTGGAGACACGGGTCCGGATTCTCGAAAGTAAATATTGCAAAATATTATTATCAGTTGATTAGATAATAAATTAGTAATGACGTGTGCGGGTGTAGGAAAAGTAACGAAAATCAAGATATACCAGTTTCGCCAGTTTCGGGAGCTGACATCAGTGACATCGGTGGAACTGGAGTCGGGCGAGGGTGCCGCCTCCCCTGTGATGTCGGCTGCTGCAGAGAACAGCTCCGAGCGAACTCTCAGTTTTCCGAACGCACAACCCTCCGCGTCGCCTACACCGACAGGACGACCACCTGTTCCGATGCTTCCCGCTCCGCCACCCTCGTAGACCTCTGCAGCTTTTCGGCCACAGCCGCCGTCGCCATGTCATATTGGCGTTCCGCAATGAGATTGCGAAGAGTTTCAGTTATATTTGTATATAATTTGTAAGATTATTGTGAATTTTGTATAATTATTGTGTGTGTATATTTTGTAAAATTATTGTATATTTTTTATAATTATTGTACGTGCATATTTTTTATAGCTATTATTGTATTTGTGTGCATAAAATAAATCTGATAACTAAAATGTACCCGACATGTTTGTTTTATAAGGTTTTCAAATTACAGTTACAATATTATTATGAGTTATTAAAGTTTCACTAAAACTATAGTCATTTTTTTAATCCTGAAAAACTAAATTCATAATAGGCATTGTTAACCGTATGTAATCTAATTAAACATTTTATAATATGTATGACTTGTATAATTCTAAATTTATTAACTCTGTACTTCTGGTTATGGGTGTACACTGTACATAAATGATAATGATATTATTAAATTACAATTTACAAATAAAATCGATTTATTTCATAGTGGGTACCTCGGTACCTATAAAATATAATATATTTTAACAGTTAATATTATGATTTATAATATTCGACACACAATTTCTTAAGATATACTATATATTGCATTAAGGAAGTTCGTAATAGTTCGTATAGCCGTATAGGTAAGTATATTAATTTCCATTATAACTTGTAACAAAGAGACGTGTCTAATCATCAATTTTACTCGTCACTATTCACCTAAATTACGAAGATAATATAATATTATAGAATTATAGCGCTTACGGCGTAACTAACTACTGATGAGCCATAGCCCATATTCCAAAACCAAATCGTATAATATAGGTATATCGCAATATGAGACTGTTCTTAGTTATTCAATGAAGGGTTAAATTATTATATTTTATACAGGGTAAACATTACAAGAATGATTTTAATAATTCTGAACCTCGTTGTATATACGTATTAATATATTATGTTAAAACCAACACGTACATTACTCCACAGTCCACACAGAATCAAAAAACAACAATACACACATTATATTGTTTGTAATTTATTTATTTTAAAATTTTTTTTTGGATAATCTTAAGTAAGTGTGTATCTATAATTTACCATTTATTTTACTGGATAGTGGACACGTGTTAGATATAAGTATATAACCAAAATGTATCTTTACTGTGGGTGTCAACTAAACATCTATACTTAACTATGTGCCCATTTGGACAATGAAAATCTTGTTAAAAAATGGATCTCACTGAGATTGTGATTAGATCTCATTGGCGGATACGAGGGGGGGGGGGCGAAGGGGCGTTCGCCCCCCTTGGGCTGCCTTTTTAACGTTATTTTCTATTATAATATTTGGCTTAACAAAAAGACAATTTATTTTTGAAAATTCACCATCCCCCTTTGGTGACTTCTGGATCCGCTACTGATATTGTTATGCCTTACTTGCCTCCTTGACAGTTTATCAGGAGCCGAAGTAAGGGAGATTATTGAGGCACTTACAATCGGCATTAGGGACGCTGAACTCGATACCTAGACAATTTATTAAATGCTTTTGAATGCTTATTTGTGGACTGAGACGGTTGATTCGGCTTTGTACTCGAGCCCTTGACAGTTAACACTGTATGGCCTCGGCATTTGGTGGTATATCTTGGTCTGCGAGGTATTCGGACTCGTTCGCTATGAAATTGGAAATCAATGAAAGACACGATTTACCACATTCGGTGTTGTATCTTCGCTTACTTGTACCGGAAATCCGTAGATAATATTATATAATTATCTATGGACATACATCGTACGGCCAATATGAGAACTACAGAGATTTAAAATAATATATTATGAAATTAATAGGTTATTTAAAATCTCTGGACAACTAATATGATCCGAGCGTGTGCGCCGTCTCGTTACAAAGCACGATTTAAGATATTATACATCTTTATATTATTACCTATATATTACCTTAAATCGTGTTACAAAGTAATAACTATCAATGATTATATTTAATCATAGACCTTATACTAGTTATGCTGAGTATAACACCATAATTAAGTAGGTACCTAATTATTATTGCTCTACGATATTACGATAATGTGTCAGTCATTATAATTATGAACTGATTAAATATGATATACCTATTTAATACTACGATACCGGATACCTACGACCTACCTATAGTGTATTAGTATAATAATTATGGACTGTGGTTTTATTTTATAAAAAGGTCAAGCTGTGAATTATATATTTTAATATTTATATTATGACGTGTATAACAACATTTTCCATTTTATTTATAGACTTGTTAAGCCTTATATTATTCTATGGAGTATGGGCCGCGGTACTAGATTGATAAGGTGTCAATTGATAAAACATACAAATATTACAAAACAGTAAAAACAAATAATATGTTTTCGGGTTATGGCCTATGCGATTACAAATTAGTAATAATTAATGTGTTTAATACATTTTAAAATTTTGGTATCGTTTAGGTAATTATATAGGTGTATGGAAAACGATAGTAATTTCATGTGTAAATGTTTAATCATGTTTAATTATTAATAATTCTCATCTGTTGACTTTTTATTTATATCTTAATTTTTCTCAGTTCTCAGTTCTTTGTACTACCTTATAGTATATTATAGTGTCTACCTAGTACCTACCACATAAGTCATAACACTAAATAATACATAAGTTAGGTAAGTACCTACATCAATTTATTATTATTATTTGTACCTATTGTTATAAAAATAAAGTTAGATAGGTACTAGAAACAAAGAATTTATTATTCTATATTGTAGTATTGTACTACCATTGATTAAAGTATATACTTAATCAATGGTAATACTATTTAAATTAAATTTGTTTAAGAATAATGTATTTAATAGAAATAGTAACACAGATTTGCAATATAACACTTACAATGTACCATAGGTAATTATTGTAACAAACTAGGTAGGTACCTAAGTAATATCCAAGAATTAAGATATATAAAATTCTTTATAGGATCTTCATTTTTAGCATTAGTTAGCAAATAATTTCTTTTAATTTTTTTGTATTATTATTCATTTAATTTGTTCTGTAGATAGTTACTATATTACTTTCTATGTAGCGTAGGTAATTAAATTGTATGACTTATATTATATGATTGCAGATTGAGAAAAACATGGCAATTAAAGACGATTTCGTAACAAATATAAGAAGAAATGAAATCCGTATCCGCAAGAAAGAAAAAAAACCCAAAGGTCCTTTATTACCTACCTATTACTTTTAATATTTTATTAGACCTATTAAATATCTGAAAATATATTGAATAATAGTACCTAATAAAATGCTATAGCTTTAGGTTCAAATTAAATAATTAAAATATTAGAGTCCTAAATAGCAAAGTGTATAAATGTGTGAGACAGGAAACAAAATGTGTTAAATAAATAATAATCTAACATAGGTAACCTAACCTATGCCCTGTCTTTGAGCTAATGGATTACATTCAAAAATGATTAAGGAATTACATGCAACCAGCTTCAAAATAAAATTGTTGTAAAAAAAAGACTTACCTATTTTATTTAATATGATAATAATAATAATAAAATAATAATAATTTTACCTTGACTGTATTTATTTAATAATTAAATTTAACTTTTAAAATTATAATTTCACCTACCTAGAATAAATAAATTATTATTAGGGTGATATTTATTATACAACTAAAAAGGCATGATAAAATTTAAAAATAAAATGCCTAGTATTTTTTTCAATTTCTACATCATAATTGATTATGATTGTCATTAGTAAATGGTTAGGTTAGATTGTCACGGTCATCTGCCATGTGTATGATTGATACAGGTTTTTAATTTTTTCATGTGAGAGTAGGAATGTTTACATATAGATGTAGATCTAAACATCATATTTAAGTACTTTGCAGCTATATTCTTTATTGTTGGATATGAATGAGAGAATTCAGTTAATAATAATAAAGGTGATACCAAACTTTAATGAGTTTTTAAAAATATCTTGA